CAGGGTATGTTGGTAATTGAATTGAAGAGGAATGCATATTGGGAACTGACATCATGTGGAAACATGAATATGAGATTAAACTAGCTTCATATAGCTTTAGTCTATAACCAGGAAATCCCGTGTGCTATATGACAAGTACACCAGAAATTTGACTTGATGTAGCAACAAAGATAGGTTTTGACCTAGAGTGCAAAAGAGCAGAACCTGGAAGAAAATAGGTGGTCCAAACAAGATTCATTCATTGTGGTCGTCTTTGGAAGGACATCAATGGGAGAACAGCCAATTGCATAACTTTAATGAATACTTCACCAAACATAAGTCAATCAGCTGAAGAGTTCAAGATTTTTGTAGAAACCACTTCCAGAGCGTCACCAATTATGAAGCTTACAGTGGATTCCCTCGATCATCTATCTGGATAGAACTCCTACAGTGACGATAGAGGACAAGAGATCATCTCATCTTTATACTATAAGCCACAGAAAACAAAAAGATTTGCTGAATTGATAGTTTAGATATAGTAAATGACAAAATGACGATCTTATTTTGTTAATCGAAAATCCTGATGTTTATATTTTGTCTAATATATTTAACTAATGATCTTTTATTGTAATGTATATTTATGAATATTATTTTTTTCTTAATGGAAAATACTGAGTACATGTAAATTTAAGTTTATCGTTATTTTACTTGTAAACTGGGACTCTTCAAAATACTTTACAATCCAGTTACAGTATTGTTTGCTATAGGGGTTTTGGCATGATAATTTATGATGCCTTAATATTTTCTGAATGTGTATATTTGACGTAACATCTCAAATTTTTTGGAGACTTAAAAACTTTCGTAATGGTATAAAAATGCCAGTTAGTCAGTCAACCAGCCAGTCAGTGAGTTAGTTAATAAACTACATTAGTGTGGTGAATTTTGAATTTATTTCAACAAGGTGAAGTTTGTAAATAAGTGGTTCTTCAATGTTAAACATGCATCATTGTTTCAATTTAAGTATAGCGCAAGTGTTAAATTTAGTTATTTTTAAAAGTGATAGTTTAATGCGGTTTGTGTAGTTCACCAGTTATGAATGGGTGGTTTTATTATGGCATCATGTTACTAGAACTTTCTAAGTTTTTCTTTGTTTTCATTCAGCATTAT